CATTTTCTCTTAATCTGAATCTCTCTCTCTCTCTCTCTCTCTCCCGATTTCTCTCTCTATGGCCTCCACTTATTCATTTTCTCTTTAACTGAACTCTCTCTGTCCTTCATTCAATCATTTTCTCTTTAACTGAATCTCTCTTTCTCTCACTCTCGCCTTCATAAAATCATTTTCACCTTACTTGAACACACACACACACTCTCTCTCTCTCTCCCTTTCTGGCATCACTCAATCATTTTCTTTTTAGCTGAACTCTCTCTCTCTGTCACTCTTTTTCTCCCTCTCTCTCCCATCTCTCTCTCTCTCTGTCACTCTCTTTCTCCCTCTCTCTTCCATCTCTCTCTCTCTGTCACTCTCTTTCTCCCTCTCTCTCCCATCTCTCTCTCTCTGTCACTCTCTTTCTCCCTCTCTCTCCCATCTCTCTCTCTCTGTCACTCTCTTTCTCCCTCTCTCTCCCATCTCTCTCTCTCTGTCACTCTTTTTCGCCCTCTCTCTCTCATCTCTCTCTCTCTGTCACTCTTTATCCCTGTCTTTCCCATATCTCTCTCTCTGACACTCTTTTTCTCCCTCTCTATCCCATCTCTCTCTCTCTCTCTCTGTCACTCTCTTTCTCCCCTCTCTCTCTCTCTCTCTCTGTCCTCTCTTTTCTCCTCTCTCCCATCTCTCTCTCTCTGTCACTCTCTTTCTCCCTCTCTCTCCCATCTCTCTCTCTGTCCTCTTTTCACCCTCTCTCTCCCCTCTCTCTCTCTCTCTGTCCTCTTTATCCCTGTCTCTCCCATATCTCTCTCTCTCTGTCACTCTTTTTCTCCCTCTCTATCCCATCTCTCTCTCTCTGTCACTCTCTTTCTCCCTCTCTCTCCCATCTCTCTCTCTCTCTGTCACTCTCTTTCTCCCCTCTCTCCCATCTCTCTCTCTGTCCTCTTTTCGCCCCTCTCTCTCTCATCTCTCTCTCTCTCTGTCCTCTTTATCCCTGTCTCTCCCATATCTCTCTCTCTGTCTCTTTCTCCCTCTCTATCCCATCTCTCTCTCTGTCCTCCTTTCTACCTCTCTCTCTCATCTCTCTCTGTCCTCTCTTTCTCCCTATCTCTCAGTCTCCCCTCTCTGTCCTCTCTTTCTCCCCTCTCTCCCATCTCTCTCTCTGTCCTCTTTTCGCCCTCTCTCTCCCATCTCTCTCTCTCTCTGTCCTCTTTATCCCTGTCTCTCTCATATCTCTCTCTCTCTGTCACTCTTTTCTCCCCTCTCTATCCCATCTCTCTCTGTCACTCACTTTCTCCCTCTCTCTCTCATCTCTCTCTCTCTGTGTCTCTTTCTCCCTATCTCTCAGTCTCCCCTCTCTCTGTCCTCTCTTTCTCCCTCTCTCTCCCATCTCTCTCTCTGTCACTCTTTTTCGCCCTCTCTCTCCCATCTCTCTCTCTCTCTGTCACTCTTTATCCCTGTCTCTCCCATATCTCTCTCTCTGTCACTCTTTTTCTCCCTCTCTATCCCATCTCTCTCTCTGTCACTCACTTTCTCCCTCTCTCTCTCATCTCCCTCTCTCTGTCACTCTCTTTCTCCCTATCTCTCCAGTCTCCCTCTCTCTGTCACTCTCTTTCTCCCTCTCTCTCCCATCTCTCTCTCTGTCACTCTTTTTCGCCCTCTCTCTCCCATCTCTCTCTCTCTCTCTCTGTCACTCTTTATCCCTGTCTCTCTCATATCTCTCTCTCTGTCACTCTTTTTCTCCCTCTCTATCCCATCTCTCTCTGTCACTCACTTTCTCCCTCTCTCTCTCATCTCTCTCTCTCTTTCACTCTCTTTCTCCCTCTCTCTCCCATCTCTCTCTCTAGCCTACACCGAGTCATTTTCTCTGTAACTGAACACGCTCTCTCTTCCGCTCCCTATGTACTTCACTCAATCATTTTCTTTTTAACTGAATTCTCTCTCTCTTTCCCTTTCACTTAATCCTTTCCTCTTTACATTAACTCTCTCTCTCTCTCTCTTTCTCTTTCACTCAATCACTTTTCTTTCATTTTTTTGTCTTCCTTTCCGTTTTACTTTCTCTCTCATTTCCTTTTCTCTTTTTTCTTTCATTCTCTTTCATTTCGTTTTTTTTCATTCACTCAAGATTTCTTTTTCATTTTCTTTAAAATTAACTTTCTTTTTCTTTAATTCTGTTTTAATTCTGTTTTTATTCTTTTTCTCTTTGTCATTCTTTCTTTTTCTTTCTTTCCTTCTCTTTCATTTCCTTTCAAATTATCTTTCTTTTTTTTCTTCATCCCTCTTTCATTAAATTTCGTTCTTTCTCTCTTTCAATCGGTTTTTCTCTCTCATTTCCTTTTAATTCTCTTTTTTCTTCCTTTCTTCTTACTTGCATGTGCTTATCCGTTTGAATCTCAATGTCTTTGAGAATTTTGCGTCATGCATCGTTGTCGTTTTCGCTGTTCCCGTTGGGCGATCTTCCACACCAATTATGCTTACGTTTTAATCTATCTAGGTTGAGTTCTCCCGTTGCTTGTTGAGTAAGTTATCGCTGTTCCCCTCATGTTTCTCATGCAATCTATATTCCCTGTGAATGATCTGTGTTATTTTCTCCAAGCCTTCTTCCCTCATTGCATTCCAGAAATTCCAAATTTATTTATTTTTTATTAAAACTGCTAGATTCCTTGTAGTTTTCCCCGAATCTTGTAGTTTCTACTATGCAACATCCACGTTATTCTTGGCATTATTTGATAGAACCGTATCTCTGAATAGATTATCTGTACGCCAGGGAATTATATCTCGATAATTAACTGAATTGATTACCTAGAATTCACTGCCATATACCGGGTGTAAGAACAAAATTGTCCAAATCGAGTTACAGCATAAGCTGGACGGGGTGAACAGACTGATCTATACCTTTTGATCTCAGAGTTGTCTCTCTCCTAAACTGGGCCTAAGCCAAGCCCAGAGAGCCTATTCAACCGTCTGCTTACTTCCGACCTTACTGTGTAGAAAGAAGAGATGACTTCATACCTTTTGAATTCTTTACTTTTCCTTCTCCTAAACTGGGTGCCAGCCACGGCTAGAGAACGTATTCAGTTCAGCTGTTAACCCCTAGCGTGCCGAATTGAGGAGAACTGAGATTCCTACCCTTTGAATTCAGAGTTGTCTTAATCTTAAACCGGTTCCCTACCAAGGCTAGATGGACCAGTCCGCCCTGCGGAGTAGACGGGCTCGTACCTGCCCTAGGGTATTTGTGCAAAAACGCACGCAACGGCCTTGGCACGTCAGTATTACTTTCCGCTTACGGCCGTTATAGCTATAACTATTATAATTTTTAACGAAAGCTGATATCACTGCAACTATCTGGTTATTTATATTATTTACATTATTCGGACTGTTGTCCCCATCTTCATTGCCATATTAACAACGTTTCAGCCGTTGATTGCTCCGGCCTTCTTCAGGTGATTGGAATTTTGAACCGAACCATTTATTTCGTCTACCGGGGTAGATTGTTCTAGTTCCACGTGTCATGCCTCTTCCGCATGTCTCAGTTATTTCCCTTTGACTCAACTCGCCTGTTGCTTGGTATTGAACTTACAAATCTTTGGGTCTAGTCACTCGATCGAACCAGCGTCTTTACCGACTGGACCACGTGTCAATGATCTGGTCAAAGAGCTATTTTTAAGCCACTTGGGTTTAACTGTAAGAAGATACAACCTAAGAACGATCCTGGTGCTTCGTCTGAGTTGCAACGCTACATGTAATTTTCAAGGACACATGGCCCAGAGGATAAAGACATTGGTACGATTCAGTGACTAGACCCAAAGAGTTGTGAGTTCAATACCAGGCCACAGCAGCGGTGAACCAAAATCTTGGAGAGTTGAGTGAAAGGGAAATAACTGAGACATCTGGAAGAGGCATGACATGCGGAACTAGAACAATCTACCCCACTGGATGAAATAAAGGGCTTAGTTCGAAATTCCAATCACCATAAGAAGGCCGGAGCGGACAGCAGACGAAACGTTGTGAACATTGCAATGAAGATGAGGATAATAGTCCAAATAATGCAAGTTATCGTAAAACCTCATTTCAGAGATATAGACAGATACTGAAAAAGGCCGGAGCGTACAACGGCCGAAACGTTGTGAATATGGCAATGAAGATGAGGATAACAGTCCGAATAATGTAAATAATGCAATAATCATAATACCTCATCTGAGAGATGTAGAAAAATACTGAAAAAGGCTGTAGCGTACAACGGCCGAAACGTTGTGAATATGGCAATGAAGATGAGGACAACAGTCCGAATAATGTGAATAATGCAGGTAATCATAATACCTCATCTCAGAGACATAGATAGATACTGAAAAAGGCCGGAGCGAACAACGGCCGAAACGTTGTGAATATGGCAATGAAGATGAGGATAACAGTCCGACTAATGTAAATAATGTAAGCAATCATAATACCTCATCTCAGAGATATAGATAGATCTATCGGGGTTGTGTTTTATGAGCACAGCGAAAGCCAACATTTGATTTGGACTGCTTTCCTTGATTGTCTGTACGTCTGGGAATTATATGTCGATCGTTGATAATTAACTGAATTGATGTGCCATTTAAACTGACGTGTAGGCGTGTTTTAATCATCCTTTACTCATAATGTCTCTCATTTTGAATCCTCTAAATCAAAATTTTACTTCTTGATTAGTGATCGCCATATTAAATTTTAATGGGCGTTGAACGCTGACTTAGATACTGTTCGAATGCAAGTATTAAGAAAATATTATTCTCGGATACGAAATTTCGTTTCGAAAAGAGAAAAGAACATTTGTTCTGGTGATTCTGATATGTATTTAGATATTCTTGATAACCCGCAAAGTAGTATGTGGAGTGAGTAACTATGGTCAAATCCAGAGTAAAGAACGGTCCAATAACCAAAAATCTGCAATAAGCAATAACAAGAAAAAAGAGAATTAGAACAATAACAACAACAAAAAAAACTCATATAAAGCAAGCAAACAATAATCTCGTTATATGTATATACAATAGAAGACCAGTATTTATCGATCCACCCACGAGGATAGAATGTGGCACAAGGCCGGTTTAATGTGGGTATCCCCGAGCCCGTAGGCTCGGCCAAAAATATAGCCTTTTTGAACCCGCCTAGACGGATTCAGGACCTGTCTACCTCCCCGGACGAACCTTGCCCTTCGGCAAAGCTTCGCCCGGGTTCCTCTCTGCTAATGCAGAGAGTTCGACAGACGCCGACTCGGAAGCTCACAAAGGCAGCGTACTACACTTTGATCCTAGCCTCCAGGCCGAGCAGCTCGGAAGATTTCCCAAGCGTAGCTTAGATGTGGCACAAGGCCGAAAGTATGGGGGCATCCAGTGAGGATCGAACTCACTTTTCAGTAGTAATTGATCTAGCAAAACAAGCTTGCTAACCATTACACCACGCCGAGGTGCCCCGATTTTCTAAGCCCGGCTTAGATGTGGCACAAGGCCGAAAATATGGGGCACCCAGTGAGAATCGAACTCACTACTCAATCGTAATTGATTTAGCAAGACAAGCATTCTAACAATTACACCACGTCGAGGTGCCCCAGTGATTTTCCAAGCGTAGCTTAGATGTGGCACAAGGCCGAAATTAGGGGGCACCCAGTGAGAATCGAACTCACTACTCAGCCGTAAGTGTTCTAGCGAGACAAGCTTGCTAACCATTACACCACCTCGAGGTGCCCAAGTTATTTTCTAAGCGTAGCTTAGATGTGGCACAAGGCCGAAAGTATGGGGCACCTAGTGAGGATCGAACTCACTTTTCAGTAGTAACTGATCTAGCGAAACAAGCTTGTTAACCATTACACCACGCCGAGGTGTCTTCTATTGTATATGTATATACAATAGAAGACCTCATGTCCGAAACGGCGACTCTCACATTTCAGTCAGTCATGTGCCATGCAGACGAAGCTGATTTTTTCCCTCAGTAGGTTGCCATTTCTTCCAGCGATAGATCCGTTGCCATCCAGGGTTATAGAACCCAGACTGTACTGCTATTTACCCATAGCTAGGGGGGAGAAGAAGAGGATTCATACCTTTATCGAGGTTATTAGCACATCAGTTAGTCAGTTATGTGTCATGTGTGATACACGCTTAAACGATCATGTATCTTTCGATATATGACTGACGAGGCAGATTTTTCCCCGCAGTAGGTTGCCATTTCTTTCTGCGATAGACCAGTTGCCATCCAAGTCTATAGAATCCGGTCTGTCCTGGTATTTACCCATAGCTGGGGGAGGGAAGAAGAAGAGGATTCATACTTTTCCCAAGGGTATTAGCACATCAGTCAGTCAGTTATGTATCTTGCATGATACACGCTTAGATGATCATGTGTCTTTCGATACATGACTGACGAGGCAGATTTATTTCCTGAAATATGTTGCCATTTCTTTCTGCGATAGACCAGCTGCCATCAAAGACTATAGAACCGGGTCTGTCCTGCTATTTACCCATAGCTGGGGGGAGAAGAAGAGGATTCATACCTTTCCCGAGGTTAATAGCACATCAGTCAGTCAGTTATGTGTCATGCGTGATACACGCTTAAACGATCATGTATCTTTCGATATATGACTGACGAAGCAGATTTTTTTCCCGCAGTAGGTTGCCATTTCTTTCTGTGATAGACCAGTTGCCATCCAAGGTTATAGAATCCGGTTTGTCGTGTTATCTACACATAGCTGGGGGTAGACGAAAAGGATTCATACCTTTCCCGAGGTTATTAGCACGTCAGTCAGTTATGTGTCATGCGTGATACACGCTTAGGCAATCATGTATCTTTCGATACATGACTTATTATTAAATTTCTGCATTCTACTTTTTTTAAAATTTTGTAATACTATAGTTTTGTTGCTTTTGGCTCTTCATTATTATTCTAGTCAATCTGATTATCAGTCAGTTATGTTCAATGCATAATACGCACTTAGG